TGGATGTGGCACTTGCTGCCCTGGTCTGGCCGTTGTGTGGTATTGAGTCATAGGCTGAACTTGATGATCTCAGAGGTCTCTTCTAGCCTCAACAATTCTGTGATTCAACAGCCCGGCCGACTGTGAATGAAGCTGATGGTTCATATGGCTTAGAAAGAGCAAAAAACAAACAACAGAAATGGAACTTCGGTCGTTTGACCAGAGGCACCCTGAGTCATCTGAGATGTCTTATAGTAGCTGAGACGTGCATGGGGCTGGAAGCTACAGCACAAGATCTTCTGAAGAACATGCAGGGTCAGCCTGGGTACTCGAGAGCATCTCAAGTATCTTTAGACCCCTCTCTGTAGACAGCTGAATTAGTCCCTGGAAACGTGGGAGAGAGCGGTGGGTCAGAGAGTTTTTGGTTGTGACTGGGTGTGGGGGACGGCAGCTGGACTGCTGATAACCTGGCATTGGTTGAAGACATTGACCTTGACAAATTCCCAGTGCACCCTTCACATGGCAAGTTGTGTGTACTGACTTTGGACACGTTTGCAGAATTTTCTCCCTCAAGATCCAGAGGGATGAGCCCAGCCAGAAGCTGCTAACTGTAAACAAAATAGAATGTGAAAAACAAGTGTTTGACCTATAAGCAAAGGCCACGCTTTCTTCTTCTAGTACCTTCGACTATGTATAAAAGGCACACCCTCTGTGTAATAAAGGAGCCATTTTTGAGCCATTTTAATTACCACTCAGATGTGTCGTGTCCGTCTCTACAACGACAACTGGGTGTCATGGTTTGAGCTGAGTGCCCAGGCCAGCCACAAAGATCCATTTCATTCCTTCCCCCATCCCCACAGGGACTGGGAGAGAGAAAGTTCAACTAAAAAGTCTCAGAATTGAGATTAGGGCAGGGAGGGTTCATTCAACATTTATGGTCACGAGCAAAAACCAGAGTAGACATTGGGAGAAGACATAAATTTAATTTACCACCACCACCTATCAACTAGATCAGAGCAGGATAGTGAGAGCAATACATAGATAAATACAATGCAATCTTAAATACACTTCCCCCCCTCCAAACTCCCTTCTCCCTGGCTACCTCCTCCACTCCATCAGCACAAGTGGAACAGGGTGGAGGTGTGGTCTGTCTGGCCATTACCTATCTGTCCATGATCGTCCTTGCTTCTTGAGGAAGAAGGCTCTCACAGTCTTCCCTTGCTGTCACATGGTGTCCATCTCACAGGAGGCAACCCTCTCCTTCCATGTGCATTTATCCCACCAGTGTGGAACTGACCTTGAGGCCACGAGTTGCTTCGTGTGTGTCCTCCGCTCCTGTGTGGTCTTTCTGCCCTCTGGCATGGGGTTCTCCACACACTGCCACATCTTGGGCAGTTGATCCCCTCAGCTCACAGACAATTATCACCCTGAGACCTTGCTCACCATGGGACAAGGTCAACATCAACATCTCCCCTTCAGACAGAAGACACTACAGCCCACTCCCACAGAAAAGACTGGCAACACCAGAGGCTACAAGTCCCTCTAGAGCCTCCTGGTTGACTCTGGACCTGAAGCAATCAAGCAAAAGCCACAGACATCACCAGAGCGAGCAGAAACACAGGACCAGATGCTCTCATGTATCAACTAGGAGCAAACCCAATTCCCTCTCAGATAATAGGGCTAATTGCTGACATTTCTGTAAATATTTACATTTCAGGGACTTAGAATATTAGGCTATTTAGACATCTTGAGAGGTTTTCTGATATTTGACAAATGATACACGTAGGCTCAAACACAGATAGGAGCACTTCTACCCACCCATTCCCTATTAATAACAATAGTTACAGTACATCACAGAGATGCCTTCTTGTGGCCATCTGCTTCTTCTGTTCATCCACATTTCACCCTGAAAAAGCATCTGAAGGTCTGCCAGTGTCTCTGCTCTGCGTTGTGAGGTGACATTGGCACCAAATAGATAAGACACACTACTGCTTCCCTTGTTTTTTCCGATTTTTCTTTAGAGAGCAGGATGTGCAGTTCTCCCAGGAAGACGATAGGTTTCGCTCAAGTTCTTCTTTCTTGAGTTCCCAATCTTCATCTTGCTGGTCTAAGGGGATCCCTTGCACTGCAGCTGTCCTGCGATAGTTTCTGCTCTCCACCTCTGCTCTGGGGAAGAAAGCAGGAGTGCATCTTCAGGCACTGAGCACCGCACAGGCACACACCGTTCCTCAGCTGCCCATCTACAGCATCAGGGGATTGGGTATTCGTGTGGTCAAAACGCTGTTGCCAGCAACAAATGAGAAAACACTAAGGCCTGAAGAGGGAAACGTTCAGTATGATCTATGGTGAGATTGGGCTTTTACCATTGGGATCATGATTTTAACCATAAAAAGCTCTTAAAGACTGATCTTGTGAATTTGTGTGCTAATAAACTGACTTATAAAGCACATTCGGGGCAATCCTTGTTATCAATACAGGCTGGGGGATGATGTGCTAGAAAGCAGTCCCACAGAGAGGGACTTGAGGATGTTGGTGGATGCAAAGCTGGACATGAGCCACCAAGGCGTGCTCACAGCCCAGAAGGCCAGTTCCATCCTGGGCTGCTGTCATGGGTTTGAGTCTGGTGGGGTTTTTTGTAAAAGCGGGGGTAGACTCACAGGAAACTTCAAGATCCTCCCCCACCCCTAGGTGGGAGTTGGACCTGCCTCTGGCCAGGGCAAGGTCAACCACTGCCTCTTAGATAAAGGTATTTAAGAGGTGACCCCATTGTTCTTTCTCTGCTTTGTTTTCGTCTTGTGTTGAGCTGTCCTGTCTTTAATGTTGGGGATTTTTTCTGTTGGAGGAAGGGGAGGTGAGAGGAGAACAAATGAACATCTCCCAAGGGGGAGAAGAGTCCCAGAGAAGGAGAAGGCTGCAGGAGGAGGACCTTTTCCTAAAGCCTGTTGTGGCTGAGACGTCAGGAAGGTGGTTGCCTGCCAGTTGAGGGACTGACAGCAGCGAGAACGCCCAAAATGCATAGGTATGTGCAGAGCCCCATGAGAGGGGAGAGAGACCGAGCATCAGCTGGGGACATGTCAGAAGCGACCCTTGGCCCTGATGGACTCATAAGGAGGAAGAGGATTGCCTCCTGTGAGGTGGCACTAAGGAGAGACTGCGAGGAGCCCTCTTTCTCAAGGAGGAACTGCCATGGACAACGAGTAAATGGCCAGATGGACTGCACCCCCCATTCCCGGTCCCCCTTGCACTGATGGGAGGAGGAGGTAGCCAGGCAGATGGGAGGAGTGAGAGGGGGAAAAGTGTATTTAAGATCAGGTCATATTTGTTCATGTATTCCTCTTACTATCCTTCTTCGTAACTGGTGGTGCTGAATTAAATCTATGTTTTTCTTCCCAAGTCGCTCTAGTTCTTTACCCGTCACCTTAACTGGTAGATTATTACCCTCCCTATCCTTAATATCAAACCCTTGAGGCTTTTTAAATTGTCTCGCCCCACTGTTGAATCGGGCGGGGAGGAGCGAGCTGGAGATTGTGTGGTTCTTAGTCCCAGTCGGCTTAAACCACGACAACTGCATCCACAGCAGCGTGGCCAGCGAGGCGAGGGAGGGGATTCTGCCCCTCTGCTCTGCTCTGGTGAGACCCCACCCGGAGTCCTGCATCTAGCTCTGCAGCCCCCAACACAAGAAGGACGTGGACCTGTTGGAGCAGGTCCAGAGGCAGACCACAAAAATGATCAGAGGGCTGGAGCAGCTCTCCTACAAGGACCGGCTGAGAGTTCAGCCTGGAGAAGAGAAGGCTCCAGGAGACCTTACAGTGGCCTTTCAGTACCTGAAGGGGCTACAGGAAAGCTGGGGAGGGGCTGTTCACAAGGGCATGTAGTGACAGGACAAGGGGCAATGGTTTTAAACTAGAGCAGCGTAGATTTAGATTTAGATTAGATGTTAGGGAGAAGTTCTTTACTATGAGAGTGGTGAAACACTGGCATGGGCTGCCCAGAGAGGTGGTGGAGGGGCAATCCCTGGAGACACTCAAGGCCAGGCTCTGAGCAACCTGATCTAATTAAAGATGTCCCTGATCACTACAGGGGGGTTGGACTAGACAACCTTTCAAGGTCCCTTTCAGCTCAACACATTCTACGATTCCATGATTTAAGGCAATTGCACTTGGTACATTAACTCACCGCAACCACATTTCCACTTGCTTTCATTTTTGCACTCCTCGTCTATAAGTACTGCAAATTCATAACACCAAAGGATCAGATTTGAAGATGACTGGAATTTGGGAGGATTTGTCATCGTTATTCTTTATAGCTGACCTTTTAACCTTAGAAATTATCTAATCCTAATTCAATTTAGCCCTGAAATTTTGCTAAACTTTGCTGTCAGATCAAATATTATAATTTCAATAACTGTAAAAAAAGACATGACTCTGTTCTTTACTACAATAATAGCCATATGATATACATACCCTACATCAACTGCTAGAGGGTTGTTCTTAAAAAATTCAACCTGGGAATTCAGTACTCACCACTCTGAGGGGTTAATACTGATCTACTACTCATGCTTGATGGCTTTCATAGGCTTTAGGTGGAAAGACGAGTAACTCGTTCTCATTTGTTCCGGTCCTCTAAGAATTTTCATTGCTGGAGCCCCATCAGCTGCCACAGTGGGATCAGCCATCACTACTCACACTTCTAAGAACCTGAGGCATTCTTGGTGGCCGTAGATTTCCACCAGCCTCTTGGGAGTGTCACCGAAGAGGCTGACCACATCCATGGCAGCGTGCAGGGAATGAAGGCTATGAAGCAACCCCAGACTCCCTGACTTAGCCGCAAAGTGAGCCGGGGTCCAGCCCACATCACTCCGCAGGCAATGTCAAGCCAATGTCCTCGTGATCCACGAGGAGCTTGACCAGTTCTGATTTTCCTTACATTGGGCATGAAAAAAGAAGAGAAGATGCACCTGCATTAGACTTTACACCTTTGGGATGCAGATGATTGTCACACACAGTTGATCATAACTCCCTCAGTCATGTAACGCTGGATCTTACCCATGATCTGGCCACTTGATTTAGCAAGTAAACGATACTCTTTAGAAAGTGCTATTTTTTTTTTCAATTTAGACTGGTTCCAGAAGCATTTTACAACAAAAACAACAAAATCAAAAGGCTTTCTACTAATTCCTGAACAGTACGTCTCGATTAGCCATTGACCAATTGGCTATTGACTAGTTCATTGTTTCATTTTGGTTTTTAGTGCATCACAAAAAACAGGTTAAATATTAGAAAACTGGAAAACCTGTGAACAGCTTTACTGAAACAAAAGTTTGTTAAGAGCTGGAGAAATTTCTTCTTCTCATTCACCTTCATATTTTTCTAACTTGTGGAATTGCTTAAAAAAGCAAAAAATGTTCTTTCTATCCCAGTTTACACTGCCTTGACTGAGCTAGATCATTCTCAATGGCTCCTAGGCCACATCAATTATCTCATCTTCTTTTTCTTAGAGAGTTTAGTTCCCTTTGCTGCTGCTCAAATAAGTAATAATCCATCACGAAATCCATTCAAAAGTAAAACATGTAGGTGTAAACCTGCAAATCAGACACTTTTCTGAGCAAAGACAGATGCCATGATGTGAGATCCTAACATGTAACAAAGACCCTAGTATAGTGGACTACAGGTCCCATTTCCCATTTTATACCATGTACAGTATTGCATTATATATTGCCGCATTCATCTCTTTTCTGGGCTGCAAAAAGATATTCTACTCCAATAGACACTTCTTACGGTGAAGGACCAGATAGAACTGCAAACAGGTCCAGTCCTACGTTCATTCGACCAGGTGGGATAAAGGGAGGGCCATGTAAATCACATTGTAATTATTTTGTTCTATTGAGTTTGATAAACACCTAGTAGAAATACAGTGGGTTTGTCTTTCTGTACATTCATGAAGGTGTACTCGAGAAATAACTCCTTTTCACTGTATGAAGTCTTAGAAAAGTAACGTGGGAGACAAGGAGACGTGCTATATGTACATCATAGAATCACAGAATCATAGAATGGCATAGGCTGGAAGGGACCTTAGAGATCATCTAGTCCAATCTCTGCATATTATGCATGTGACAGAAAAAAACAACTGAACAATGATAGTAATCTTATAAATTATTTTTAACCTCTAAGGTCCCTTCCAGCCTAGGCCATTCTATGATTCTCTGATTCTATGATGATTTTGGAGGCAAAGTTCCCATTTAAATTGGTATTTTTCTCTTTTTTGCTTAGTGGGGACAGAATGATCAGATACAAGCTGTGAGTATCACCAGCTTTAATTGCCACCAGAGCAAGATGTCATTACCTTCAGCATCACCTTTTATGATGCTGGTTCACACAAGTAACAGAGCCAGGGGTGCCATCACCTTTTGCAGCAGCCCAGTGCAGCGGAGTCCTGTCATGCCAATCAACATCCTTGTGATTTGGGTCACAGCGCCTTGTCCTCAAAATCTTATCCACCAGGTCGTAGTCCCTCAAAGCCATGGCTTCATGGAGCTCAGTCATGCTGCACACTTCAGAAAGGTGCCTGGTAAAAGAGTAACGGTCATTTAGTGGGTGTTCACTGTATCAGTCCCTCTCCAGAGTAATTTTAACAGATCAAGCGACATCTGGATTAAAAATGAGACATACACTGTAAGAAACCAGGATTTATCCGAAAATAAGGAAAAAGTAATGAGAGGGGGAAAAAATAATTGTCATTTATCTTCAAACCAGCAATCACAGACCGCTGGTGAAGTTTGGTTTGCAGTCATGGAAATGTGGGGCAAAGTGCAGCTCTTTATGTAAAGGACTCATAGATAAAACCACGTTGCATTTCTCAGCGATGTTGCTAACAAACAGCCAGCTCAGACCAAACACTTGCCACGGGTGTGCTGGTACTCACTTCCCATGGAAACTGGCTCCTCCCTTGCCGATGCTGCAGATTGGTTACTGGGAGCGTTTTACTGCTGTGAGAAAGAAACATCTGTGAAAGAACCTGCTGATGTGGTTTGGTGCAAATGACTGAGCTAGGGCAGGTTGCTTAAAAATCTCATCTCCATTGCCATGCTTTGTGCTTTCCAGTCCCACGCAACAGATCCCCACCAAGAAACAGAAGGAGCTGCTGTTCAGTGCCTGCAAGGCTGTGGGTTTCAGTGGTTGTGCCTGTGCCAGGAGATATTTCCCAGCTGCTTTGCTGGCAGGGAATTTAAACAGCTTACGAAGACAACTACGCTACCCCGTCATCCTGAGATGGAGTGATTTCCCTGTTCCCAGCTTCTGTAAACACGCAGACCACATCCCAAATCCGGGCTGGAAGGACACACCATCACAACCCTGCTTTCTTGTAAGAAGAACATGAGGTACAAAGGTCAGAGGGAATCCCAGTCTGCTTCAGTAAGTTCCCTAACTTAGGTGGCGGGACTGTGTAGACCAGATTGAAGAATAAGACCCATACATGATTTCTACTTAGTTTGACTCCTGCTTTTCTGCGAATAGGATATATTAAAAAAAATATAATAAATTCTGGAGCTTCTCAGTTGGCCACAAAAGTATCATAGGCTTTGGCACATCCCTCTAACTGCTCATGCACCACCTCCTCCTCCTCCTTGCCTGTCACTATCCTCGAAGAACCCGTTGCTTTAGATCAGAGGTCTTCAGAGTTGTACTCCAAGACCTTTCACCAACACTAAATCTATCCTGAAAATGCTACGCTTTAACACACCCAGTCCATCACTGAAACGAGTGCTGGGCAGTGTGGTGGGTGCAGCCACTCCAGGGTCACTGTGACCTCTCAGAATGAGTCTCACTGGGCTGTTGTCTTGATCGCAAGTGCTGTTATCTTGGTGGCAAGCACGGCGATTTGGGCATCAAGCACCTCCTGGCCACCTGGTCCATCAGCAGCCTCAGTGACACATCACAAGTCATCTTAGGAGAAACTCCCATTTTGCTGTCTCAAGCATTGCTACATCAGAGTGATTCGGCATAAATGACCAAAAGTGAATCATCTCGAGATCCTATAAATGGCAACCAAAGAGGGAGTCTATCGGAGCCCTCCTGGACCGCAGTGAGCTGTGTGACCCAGGATCTCCCCCTGAGCTGGCACAAGGGTAGATTTCACGAGGAGTGAAAGATCGTCCGCCGACAATTCCACAAGGATTCAAAGGCCTGACTGACTTTGAGAGGTTCACCGACTGCCCGGCACAAAAAAGTGAGTAATTAAGGAAAAAAAGTGGAAATTTTGATCACAGATCTGTGCTGCCTGTTTGTCTCTGTGTGCGTGTGCACATAATTTGATCCAGAATTGTTTGTTAGTCCTTATGTGGGGGTTGATTTAAACTCTGTGTGTGTAACCCTGCTCTAAGTTTTGGGTGACCATTTTTAATCTTTAAGTCGCGATTTCGATTCTATCTAATCCCACTGCATCATTCTCTTAAACTGGCTGATAATTAAGTGCTCATTTTGGTGATCTCAAAAACAATAATAAATCTTCAATTGCTGCTAACCTGGTGACAGACAGAAGTAAAGGAAAAAATTAATCTTAAGGCTTTTTCACATAACTTATTCTTTTCCAAGGAAATGCCAACAAAATTAAGATTTTTAAAATATAACTTGAATTTCAAGTACCTTTTTGCTCTTCTAGATTCTGATCATACCCACAAACATACAGGCAAAGGGAGAGGAAGAGAAGCCCACGGTCCCACCCCAGGAGCTCCCCCAGCTCTCCAGGGTGCAGCTTCATAAGCAATTTAGGCAAAGCCAAATTTTACCTTCCTTCCCCTGCTGCCTCCCTTTGCTCACCTTGAATCTCATATGGCTGCTTCGTCAGCTGGACTAACCTGCTGATCTGTCACAAAACTTATTATTGCTGCTGCTTTTAGGGTTAATTCCCTAAACATTATCAAGCAGGCAAACGCCTCAGCTGTGCAAAGGGGGTGGGGGGTGCAGATCCCACCTGTCAGTAGGGACCTGAGCCCGATCCACCTTAAACCGCTCCAGAAGCTGCACCCAAAAGTGGGATCACTGCCTTAGGGGGTTCTTATACCCTCCTCATAAGGCCAGAGGAAAATATTTAGATTTTTATGGAGGGACCTTGAGCCAAAAGTCTCCCCTCCTCACCCAGCTGTGTCACAACTCCCCCATGGGACGCTGCAACCCGCCCAGGAGGACTTTTTCTTGGGGATCCCGGCGCTCAGCCCAGCCAGACGCCAACGGGCTCGGCAGCGGCGGGAGGAAAGCCAGAAAACTCACAGCCACATGCAAACCAACCCGTATCGAAACTCGTCCCTGCCTCGCAAAGGCACCGCCGCGCAGGGTCCTCCGGCGTGTGCGGTGGTTTTTGGGGATGGCTCCATGCCGGAAGCTGGTTTTCCAGGCCCAAGGAAAATCTCTTCCAGAAAGGTTGTCTCGTCGGGAAACTAAGGCAAAGTTTGGTCCCTCCCCTTCGGGGAGAGCCCGGCAGTCGCTTTGCCCTCGAGAAACTCGTCCTGCCCTGGGAGCTGCCG